TTGGTTTTAAATTGACTGTGAATGTGTTCTGAATTGTCTTACGGAGATTTCTGTTGATAATGATGTAATTAAAAGTTTTTGGAAAGTTTCGTTGAATTTTGTGTTCTTTTGATGAACTGTTTTGTTGTATGTCAATAAAACGAATTTTCCCAATTTAAAACGTTTAACCATTCTTCTTTTAAATTAGAATTCTAAAACTTCAAAGAAAAAAATGCCAGATTGGACCTTTTGAATCTTGAACCCTTTTAAAAAATGTGCATTATTCGAGCTTTCGAATCTGGAACCCTCTTCCAAATTTCGAACCCTTTTCAAGTTTCAAGAATTCAGATGTCCCATTCCTACAAAATAAAACACCAGATACTATATTATAGCAGTTGCTGATCCCACATAAACAAACGATTTGAAATTCATATTAAAGACCAAAACTGCTCCTTTAATTAATATCGATGTGCCACTGTAGACATATCAATAGATGTGCATGCTTTCTCCAAAGAGAAAAAAAAATTATATAGAAAAATAAATGTAATGAGTTTTTCTGAATGAAAAAACTCCTTTCTTTTTCTTTCTTTAATGAAAAGGAGTGCGATAATTTATTGCACAAATTTTTAATTAAAAAATAAATTGTAGGTTATTGTAAAACTTTTCTCTTTCTGCAAGTATCATATGAGATTTCATATACTCCAGTCCTCTACAAAACTGCTTCTTTCTAACCCACCTTTCCACCTCCGTACTTGCAATTTTTTCCACCAAAATATGCGGGCCACAGTAAAAATCTACACCTTCTCATTTCTAAAATTACATACAAGTAATATACAAGGTTTTATGAGGTCAGCAAGTCAGGTTTATGTTAATTAACCAATTTTTATGATTTGGATCCACACTTTCTCTTCTTTCCTTCGCTGGCCCTTATTAGGAGGAAAATGATTAAGCATATTTTAGAGTGGAGTTATTGAAAATTTTAGAGATAGAGCATTTTGTAGCGAAACTTGCACTTTCGTTATAACAAAACACTCAAGAATTATCTTACGGAAGAATGCCTTCCTAGAAGGATTTTTCTAAGGTTAACTGGCTTGCATTCAGGTTGCATTTGGGCAGGCATGTCGAAATCGTGACCCTTGACTAATTTTGGGGGGATCTCCATTTACACCGAGAATCCGTTCTGATTGTAATTTTTCGAGTTTTGCATTTTTGTGGTGTTTCGAATTGTGTTCTTAGTTTATTTTATTTATTTATCATTTTCAGGTTGATAATTTCTGGGTTTATTTCGCGTTTAATCTAATTTGAAGCCCCATATCTCGTATTTAAGCGTATATTTGCAGATTTTGATTGTAGATCTTTTAATTCTGATTGTAACAACAGCGTTGTTATTATTGTTGCTATTATGTTGTTGTTGTTATATTTTACACTTTCTACAAATTTGGAATAGTAAAACATAGCTGAGTTAGAGAGAGATATATAAGCAATTTCGTTCCTGGCGGGTTTGGAGACAATTTTTGTCGCCCTCTTGGCGACATTTATCGATTTCTCGTCAACTTGCCGACTTTCTAGAAGTTTCACAGAAATACATTTTCGAAGCCCTACGATCGATTCTTCCAGAAGTTTCCAGAGTCCCTGCTACAGTGTATGAATACGAGTCAGAGAGATAAGGAGTTCCCTTGTGAATCAGCTGTGAGATTTAGCGGTTAGCTGAATTACGAGTTACGAATAACCAGACAGATTTGAGGAATTATTAGCTACCATTTCCGGATTGCGCCCGATAAATTAAGGCATACTAAGCCTTTAGTGTTTTGTGGATGCTATCACAGATCCCGAAATAGAGCAAGCACTCCGAATAGTAGACAAAGAACATCTGAAAAGTTCTCTCGTTTAAATTCCATGAAAGTGGAGATTGCGCAGAAGTCCATCAGAAGAGAGTAAATCCTGTAATGGGTGTTAATAGTACAGAAGACACAATGTTGGAAGAAGCGAAGAACTGAGAAATGCGCAAATGGAAGATGCTGAATTGAGGCCATTAAGGGAATTAATTGAAACAATCAACGAAAAACCCAGCTGGCAAGAAACGGCACCCTTTAGTTTGACGATGAAAATATATTGGACTTTGTGGAATTCCCTTTATCTGCAAGATAGAGTTTTCTACCACAAATGAAAAGCTGACGACGAGAAGAGTTTCAAATACCTAATGTTCTGTCAGAGCTTCATAGCAGCCCTACTGGAAGTCATTTTGGTGTTATGAAGGCACTTCATAAAGTTCGTGACCATTTATTCTGGGACAAAGTCACAGCAAATGTAGAAAATTGAGGTAAATCCTCTGACACATGTGGAGCTCGAAAAGACCCGCAGAGACGTACACGGGGAACACGTACATAGCACTACAATCCGAGAGTACTATTCGAGAGGCTTGCTTTGAACATTCTCGGACCTTCACCTGGTACAAATTAAAATTGAAGACCGTGCGAATCCATAAACAACTGAGCCGTAGTCTCTAGTTGTCATGTATTACTTTAGTAAATGGCAGGAAGCTTACGCCATCTCTGATTAAGAAGCTTTAACCATTGCAGACGTCCTCGTGCAGAACTGAATTTCACAGTATGGAGTGCCTCTCTTTATTCATTCTGACAAAAGAAAAAATTTTACGTCTTCCATATTTAAAGGACTTTCTAGAATTATCGGAATGGAGAAGACTAAAACCACTTCTTTGCATCCCTAGTCGGATGGCGTGGTGAAGAGATTCAATCGAGCAATCTTGAACCATCTATCTCTATTTGTATCCAAGAACCAGCAGGACTGGGTCCAAAAAACTTTCATTATTGCTGATAGCGTACATGAGTGGGGTTCATGAGAGGAAAAAAAAACTGGAATTTCTCCATCGTAAATGATTTCTGTCCTTAATTTTCGTCTGCCGTCTGACTTGCTCTTCAGACGACTGATGGGCACGCCTTCTTCCCCTGAGCAGTACCTAGCAGATTTGCAGGCACGTTTGGAAGTCGTTCATCGACAATCGACCATTATAGCCAAGGGAATATAGAATCACAGATCTTTTAATTCTGAATGCAACTACGTTGGAATTACAACAATAGCTTAATTAAAATGCGAGACATAAGTATTTCCGTTCCTGACGGATCTTAGGTATAGTTGGTGATTTCTCTCTAACGTGGCGATTTTCCGGAAGATTCGCGAAAACGCATTTTTGAAGTCTACAAACGAGTATTCTAGAATTTTTAGAGCCCATGCTACAGTGTAAAAATACAGATCGGAGAGCTAGACAGTTCAGTCTTGAATTAACTGTGAAATTTAGCAGTTAGCTGAATTAGAAGTTAGGGTTTACATTTAGATTACGATTTACGATTTATTTCGTGGGCTAAGGAGGAGCTGCCTAATATACGCGTCCTTCTTGAGTTACTTCCAGTTATTATTGTGCTGTGTCTGCTACTTATTGTGCTTAATTTCTTAAAAAATTGTTGTTTTTTCATGCTTATTTGGAGCTATTAATTAAAGAAACATCAGCCATCCTGTAGCTCGCAACAGTACATTACTAAAAATTGGATTTGCGACGAATATCGAAGCGTATATGCAATTTTGTTGAATAAAAGGGACTGTTCATGCGATCTCTTTACAAAAATACTTTCTCAACTGACACCGAAAAAGTGCCAGCCCAATTGTAGATGGAATTAACAAAAATTCATTGCGACTCGACTTTAAAGCAAGAATTCAGTGAAGTGGGTATCCCCATATTTTCAAATACTTGTCTGCACGTGAGCTGTGAAGTGGGTTTCCATTAAGCTGCAAATTTTGCGTCTTGTGTGATTTACATGTTCAGTATTGTGTATCAAGTGAACAGCTCTTCTCACTTTAAAAAAAGAACAAGAGATTCAATTTATCAGGTATTCATCTGACCTCTGTTCTGAAAAATTGCTAGTCCAATCAGCATGACTTTAGACATCAAAATCTGGTTGTAGAGAAAAGGTGCTACGTGTCAGGGAAGAAGCAACAGGTATTCATCCAGATACTATTCGAATTTATATTTTGTTCCTTCTATGTCTTGCTCCCCCCTTTTTTTAGAACTACAGTATAAAGTAAGATTTCATGCATTTACTTACTTTCGCACTCACTTAATCATAAATAAAATGGCTTTAGTTTCTTGCAGCCCGCACTATTGTACACTGATGACTGTTTGGCCCTTAGAACCGGTGTCGAACTATCAGTACTTAGGCGTTTTATCAAATTGCGTATTAATGGGCGGGATCTAAACAAGAGTGTAGGTAAGTAATTACTTGAGAAAACTAAAAGTATCTGAGCACTGTATACGTATTTCACCATGTCGTATCGTTAAAATCATTGTTGCTTGAAAATCATGCCGAAACTAAGGCCTTTTTCTTTCTTGTTCTCTTTGTTTTGCATCTTCAAACCACGCATAATTGAAACCACGGTTACTGAATCAGTGGATGCAGGTAACGACTGCACAGTAAAATGAAGTTTAGTTCTATTTCTTATGTTTAGTATCGTGTTTTACCTTTTTTATTTATTTCTTTTCTTTTCTCTCTATTTATTTTTTGGGGGGAGGGGGTAAAGATTCTTAGATTCAATGATTCCTTTATTTTACGCTATGATCTTGAGCTCTTATATACTGTTGTAAAAGTTTAAATACACAATCATCTGCGATACAGAGAGGATTAATCTGTTTTATGTTATTTCCTATGAGTAAAACAGTTTCCTTTCACTTACTTTTCGAATGACAGCTGGCCTTCAGGAATGAAAAGCATTTGCTAACTGAGATTTCACTGCATATATATATATATATATATATATATATATACACATTAAGCAAACACTGTTTTCCTGTCTCATTTATTGGCTTAAACTTCTGGAGTGACAAAGTCAACTTACGTCTTTCGTTACATTACTTCTTTTCATTTTCATCCATCTTTACCTACTATTTAAAAAGTCAAACTGTCATTCGTTCCTTTAAATTGATTTCATGTATTTCATGTATCCTGTAACAGGTGTAATCCTCAAAAAAGATGAGCATAAAGTCATAGAGACAGTCATCAATTATGTTTTATGGAATCAACGAACTAGTGATGGACAATCCCCGTTTGTGATTGATATAATCAAAGATATTGTCGAAAAAGAAGATGCTGTACATTATCAGCAGTCTAGTAAGTATTTTTTTTTTTTTTGCTACGCTTTTATTTTGCTGCATGATTTCTCTTTTAACAAAAAAGTATTATGTCTAAATGAATTCTTTCAACTACGCAGTCAAATTAATTACTATGGCCTAAAACGCAAAAGTCACGTATAACCTCATTTAATTTAAACAGTTACTTACTGTTCAAAAAATGTTTTGTCATAGAATTCAGTAATGATAGTTTTCATTATGTTTCTGTATCCTGATTTTAGATAAGTCCTCGAATTTTTGTTATTACTTGAGTTGGTGCTGAATCTGTGTTTCTGAGTGACAACACTTATTGACATAATTTGGTATTTCTCAAAAGCTTTAAAAGAATGTGTTGCTACACTGAAGTTAACAAATCATTATGTCTAGCTATATAACAATTAAAGGTGCCTAACTACTTAATTAACTACTTAGGTGCTAACCCGTAGAAGTAAGCTCTATGTGTTGACGAATTAGCTCCTTTCCTTAATGCTTACTGTAGACACAAGATACACCTCAAAAGGTAAAAAAATTAGCATTAAACTTTTTTCCTCGCAACTTGGGAGTCTTAATGCAAAAACAAGCTTTTCCACTTGTGAAGATTTATCTATTTCTTTTTGACTAATAGTTAATTTTGAGTTTTTAGTACTCTTCTGTCACTCTCGTTTCACCCACACTTTTCATTCCAGAATGTAAATGAGATAATTATTCAGATTGAAGAAGAAAAGAAGTGCTATTTAAGCGAAGGTTTCGTAAGTTGATTTTAGTATTGTGACTTGTTACCCTATTTTCACTGGACTTTGAATACTGTATTCTCATTTTTACTCATGATGACGCATTTAAGTACCATATTTAATTATTGATTTTCCTTTATTTTATCTTTTATTTGTACTAATTTGCAACTATCAGCACAACTATCTGAAATGCTACTCAACCAATTGCGATGTTGACAGCAGTACACGTGACAAAGTGGTCACACCCCTCCGTTCTTCTCTATGCTGTCCTCCTGGATCCTCTGTTTGGTAATCATTTCACTTGATATGCCCTTCTATGGCACCAGAAGTTAAGACAACGAAAGAGCAGCATGAAAACTTCATGCTAATCACGGCATACAGCGAGAATTGTAGTTGTAGTTGATTTTAGAGCGTATTCTACCTACTTAAGGCTACGTTGCTATCGTGAGTTAATAGCGATTTGATTCTGGGGCACTGAATGCTTCTAGCCATTAGGCTTGTCTCACCGGGTTTATTTACAAACCAGAACCTTTTCTGAGCGTTATTTAATCCTGTGAGCCGTTAAGCTAATCTTACTACATTTGATTTTAGTTCAACATTACTTATTTAAGTTAAGCCAGAAGTGTTGGCTTGCGGAAACCCAAGTAAATGTTACTTCTTTGTGATCAAATAAAAGGGTCTTACACGCCCTTCTTCTGACTTTTGTTTTTGTTTCATAGGACCTGAAGGTAATTCCTCCATAGTCTTTTAAAGTTTTGTAGTGAATACCAGAATACCAGACTTTATAAATTTCTTGTGGACAGCTTCTTGCTTCTCTATTACATGTAAAACTGTGTTACGATTCCGGCAACTCTGCGCGAAGCTGCAACAGTAATTGGATCAGACAGAAAAAACCCAGCTATATTTTAACATTTACCAACCGTGACAACGTCATGCGTTCACATTTACTCTGACGCGCAGCTTTGTAGGAAAGCAGAAGCAAACACTCTTCTATTCATAATCATACCGGTTACAATTTCTATTTCATTTTAAGCCATAAACTTTGTATAGCCCTCTGAATTGAGCATATAGGTGAATATAGAAGGAGTAAAAAGAAGAATTAATATAAGGCTAAATCTGTTAGTAAGACTTAAATCAAATGGCACAGATATATTTAAGTTCAAATTACCAGAAATATTTTTGTTTGTGATCTGTTTTATACCTACTTAAGGATTTTATGCTCCCATTACCGGTTAGCTGTATTCTACTACTGGCTACCCTTGACCGCAGTCTAAGCTGCAATTCTTAACTGTGGGAACAAATATTGATAAATACTATTAGATAACATTGCCAGCGTGAAAGAATCCTGTGAAAATTTGAAAATCCAGCTTCAAAAGTCTAGTAAGAACTACGTAAATGAAACCTTTATCGTGATTTTAAAAGTAATCTTTTTTTCTCCGTGGTCTTCAATTGGGCTATATAAAATATACTGCTGCTTCCTTGCAAATGAGTTAGGATAAACAGGAAAGATGATTGTTCCTGAAAGGTTGATCTCTCAAAGCAAAAATCACTAACCCTTGGAAGTTTAATGTCAGCAGAACATTGGTGGATACCTAAAATTTTGGATCTCTCCGTGGTACATTAAGTTTATGAAGATCTTTGTCGAGACTAATGAATTCCAATGACTAAGATTCACAAACCTGAGAAACAAAGATTTTAACATAAACTGTAGTACATTTAAAAAACTACTTTCGCGAAACTATAAATTAGAAAATAATTTCTCAGTCCTATAATTAGACAATTACAGAAATTATTTCCAAAATGAAAATTAAAATTGCAAAATTATTTCTCGATTTATGTTAAATTACGAATTATGTTTCCTTTGCAGATTAGAAATTTATTCTATCAGCTGTTGATTCTATTTGAAAATAAGGTACATGGCATCCTTAATAGGACGTTTGCGAAATTCTCTCGGGAAAGTGTAGGGCAAAGAGCTACTACTTTTGAAATTATATGAAGGTACAAGAAGAGATATATCTTTAAATTTTTTTTTATTCCACTTAGATTTGTTTCTACCTGTCTCTAAGTAGCTAACAGTTAGCATGAGAAGTGTTTTCATCAGGAAATGTTAGCTGTTGAGAAATGATATTAAGGCCATTAGGATGTAATCACGAGATCGTCAAGGAAAGTTTTTAAAGCAAACTTTTGACATTCATGCAAAATTTTCACAAATTTTTACGTAAGCATTTGAAACTGAAATGAAATTTTTATTACAGGAAAACAGCGAAATATCATTTTGAAAACAGCTCATAAGTTTTTTTTAATGGTGGGGACGTGAAAAATGAATAATGCCCTCCCAGGACTCGAACTTTGGACCTCTCGAATGCGCGTTGAGTATGCTTCCAATTACATCATGAGGACACCCCGATATTACGTATCTGGAACTACACAAAAACGAAACTGAAACGAAGTTAAGGAGCTGAAATGAAAGAAGCTTAACGGGCCCTATATTTCCCCTATCGATAACTACACTATCATCTGCTTTTGCTTCCGTAAACACATTATATACATGTCTTTATGAAAGCAAAAATAATCAATCTGTTTCTATTCTCATTCTAAATTTAAATTTTAAACATTGCAACTCTAATGTCCCAATCGCATTATGTTTCGGCTACGCGGGACTTTGACGTCGAAAGGGACAATTCTCAGAACCCGCACAATTCCAAGAAACACACGTAACTAGTAGGTTACTATTCCCACTTACTACAAAGATTTGAACGCCAAACAGTAATCGATTATCGCTCAAATTGGGATCACGTGATCCTTCAGAAACAGAACTTTCGTATGATTGGTTTCCTGTACCCGGGACCCAAAACATTTTAGGTGAGGTTTGAAAAAATCCCGTGTAGCCGCAACATTGTTTCCGTACCTAGGCGGGACTTCGCTTCCAGCGGGGCTCTTTTTTCTAGGAATCCTCCCACTTAAACCAGAACTACAAGAATCTCGTTTCTCAGAAAACTCCCGTCTAGCAGGGACTGTAGCCATATGCGATAACCTCGCTGTGTTGTTACTATTCTCGTTTGTCTGAAATCAGAGCAGGCCCACTAATTTCATCGTGGCAAGCAGTCAAGATTGCGCCTGTCGTTGGCAAGAGGCTTGGGCACCGTGCAGATGAGAGTAAGACTTTGTTCATTTCCGCCGACACTTTTGAAGGAAAGAACTCCGGGAGGATGGGTCTGAGGATCTCTCACCCCTTTTACCCTACCAGCCACCCCTCTAGAAGATTTTCGGCTCGTCACACATTTTGAGTGCCCCCATGCCGTGCATACAAGATACATTTACAAACATCAATGTTTTCTCCGGGTTTCGAACTCGGGTCCTTCGGTATGGTAGTCAGAGTCACTAACCACTATCCTGACTAGGAGGCAACGAATAATTAGTCAATTAAAATACTTAATTATTTTAATTGAATAATTAATTCGTAGAAAAATAATCGGGTTATGGCAGATTCTATATACTGCATAAGCCTGCAAAATTCGGATTGTGTCATGAGTAGAGGAAAATGAGAGTTCTGGCTCGGGATCTTACGGATCTGGAGTTGAGGGACCTCCCGAGAAGGAAGGCTGAGCCGTGGGAGGGAGGCTTATCTGAAAATGGAGACAGGGAGCCTTATCAGGAGGTGGATGGGAGTAGTTGCTACCTAACAGAAAAACGACGTGTGCTGAGGTTTTATTAATTAGGTGATTTAGGCATTGAGTAGTTATATGATAGATAATGTGTACTTATTTATATTGAATTCTTGAAAGCATATATCAAGTAGGTGTTTTAAGTGACTGATACAGTTCATTTCCTTAAACAGATATAAAATGAAATGTTTCCTTCACAGTATAACCTCTTCCGAAGATAATTATTTTCTTACTTGTATTTATCCTATGACTGAATATCTGCAAAACTGCTACATGTCATCACAATTTAATAAGAGATTATATTTTACTGATTTATCGGAAAAGTGATTCCCTTCGTTAATAAATTTTTAGCCTTTGTGTGTTTTTCTTCGTATTCCTACGTATATGTGATTACTCCTAGTTACCCTGAATGAACGATTATTTTCGAATTTAATGATTGAGTGATCCTATACACTCAGAATTTTACCTTATTTCTTAAATCTTCTGTTCATAATATCACATATACTTTCCGTAATTTTTCATTACATTATTCATTTTTATTCTTAAATTCATTTTACCCAGAGATTTTTCAGACTTGTTAGGCAATACTTTTAACTTATTCGTTA